GGGGAGCGACAGCATTAGGAGATATACCTAATGTAAATGACGAGGTAATGGGTACAGCACACCAACATGGCACATGTATACATATGTAACAAACCTGAACATTGTGCACATGTACCCTAGAACTTAAGGTATAATAATAATAAAAAAGAATATTGCTCCATAATTATTCTGACTATATTGTGATATACCTTGATTAAAAAATATGTATTAAGGTTTAAAATATCAGGATAGAAATGCTCAGGAAACCTAAATAAACATGATCTGAAATGTACATGCAGCAATCCAACTACATAGAAAATTATTTTAGAAAAATGTAAGATGATGAACTACTGTTTTATAAAAGCATTAATAAGAAAGGGAGGTTACTTTTATAAAGTGGTGTATCTCTGACCAATATGGATCAATTCTACATAATTTCTCTTAAAATAAGTCATCTAATAAAGAAGTAGCTCCTTTAGTGTTTTCTCTCTCCCACTTCTGGATGGTTTCTTAGATTGGCTAATCTAAACCTTTAGCACTAAAGAAAATCCAAGCAATGCCAGACTATACTCACTTCACAATATTTCTAGTTCTTTTTTTTTAAAAATTATTTATTTACTTTTTTTTGTTTTATGAGATGGAGTCTCGCTCCATCACCCAGGCTGAGGTACAGTGGTACGATCTTGGCTTATTGCAACTTATATCTCCCAGGTTCAAGCAATTATCTTGCCTCAACCTCCCAAGTAGCTAGCATTACAGGTGTGTGTCACCATGCCCAGCTAAAACCATGCCTGGCTAATTTTTCTATTTTTTAGCAGAGAGGGCATTTCACCATGTTGGCCAGCCTGGTCTTGAACTCCCGGCTTCAAGCGATTCTCCCGCCTCGGCTTCCAAAGTGCTGGGATTACAGGCATGAGCCACTGCGCCTGGCCAGATATTTCTAGTTCTTCATACCACGTTTGGCTGATCCTTTCTTGACCCTGATCCAATCTACTCAGTCATACCTTTTAATATAAAAATAGGTCTTGTAAAAGTAATAAAGTTAATTCTTTGCTTAGTTTTCCTTCTTCTCATAAAACTGGGATAATATTCAGCCCAGTAATGACCTCACAGTTTTGGATTTATGATGGAATAATACCTATATGTTTAAGTACCATGACTTGACTACAGAATCATGTTCCCTTATGAACAAGGCTGGCAATTCATATTTTGTTTTAAAATATTTAGTTATGAATATAAATGCTATATTACAGTGTTTTAAAAACAGAAGGAAAAAATAATCCTACCTTCTAAAACAAATACTTAAATAAAAAAATCTTTATTTTAATAAGCTTCACTTTATGACTAAAGGTCTTCCACATTGACCACAAAATGAGTATTTCTAAGTCTGAACAGTAAGAAAGGGCTCAAGATAATGGCTAGCTCTTTGGGAAGCTGAATGTTTTGTTTATAGGCTGTTTTGTAACATTTCCCAAGCATTACCAGCATGTTCCCAACTCAGGGATCTCCCTCCTATACTCCTCTCTCAGCTGTCTATGGTCAGGAAGAGAAATCCTAACTCTATATCCAGAGTTTCAAAATTCTACTTCCTTCTTCCTAGATGTCTAATAGAGCTACGGTAGCAAATAACCTTTTATCAGCGGGTCTACCATCTTACAAATGAGGCGCATTAGTCTAAAAATTCTGTAATTATAAAGCTGTAGGTACATAAAATGATGTTATTACTTTTACTAATGTAAATACTTTCAAACAAAAAGTTCCAGGTTGACTCCATCTCGTGGGAACTCCTGAAACAAAAGAGAAAACCAAAATGCACTATACATAAAATATGCTCATGAAAATTTACCCTGAACACATACTTGTCGCTCCAGATCCTGAATTTTTTTGGCATCTGCTGCTTTATCTTTTAAGCGTATCTTCTGCTGAATAGATGGATTCCCAGATTCAGCTTTCAGTTTCTCAATCTGTCAATAAATAAATAACATGCTAAGAAGCATATTTAAATGTAACAGAAAAGTTCTGGGGGTGGGGGGAAGCATAATATTAGGTATTCATTCATTTATTAATTCCTCAGCAAAATTTGGGGAATTAATGCCTCAAATTCCTTGAGCTCCTCCCAAGTTCCAGGTACTTCCTAGATCTGGCAGGAGATATGGATGGCAAACAAGAGAAACTAGGTCCCTGCTCCCAAGATGCTTATGCTCTAGTAGAGGGGGAGAGTTGATAAGCTAATAAATAAAGTAAATCAAAGGGAAAATGAAAAACCTTCAGAGTGGTAAAGGCTAAGAAGAAAATAAAACAGAGTGAAGGGATAGGAACAAAGAACCAGAAGTTGAGAGATTGGCAGCTACATTAGGAAAGGGAGTCAGGAAACATCTTTTCTAGAGAGTAGATATTTGAGCCAACAGGAACAAGGAGGAGGAGTGAGACACAGAAAGAACTCAGGCCAAAGTATTCCAGGCCAAGAAAACAAGTGGAACGAGTCCAGCATGTTCAAGAATCAGAGGAGCTCTGATGCAGCTGGAGAAGAGTGACTCAGGGGAGTGTGGTATCCGATGACACTGAAGAGGCAGGCAGGGTTTGGACCCCATGGGGGCCCGACAGGTTGTGATAAGGAGCTTATATTTATTCTCAGTCTAATTTAAAATAGACTATATATCTAAAAGCAAACCAGCGATCTTAATTAATAGTTCAGAGTAATGATGCAATGACAAAAGGTTACGTAGAACTGATATTACAGATAACAGGATTCATCTAGAGAAGAAATACATTCTGAAATGATCCATTACCTCAAGTCTGAGTTTCTCAATTTCCTCATTTGCTTCTCTAAGCCGAAGTGCATCTTTATCCAGAAGTTCCTGATTTTCAGCATACCACTGTAATCTTTTTTGCAGACGACTGATTTCTTGTTTATGTGTTTCTTCTAAAATTTTTATTTCATATAATTTTTCACCTATAAGATAAAATAACTCAATAACCTGCTTGTTGTTCTCCAAAATATGGAAATAAACTAAATTAAAAGATTTTAAACGAAATGCCCATCTAATGACAGCATTATGAAAAAATAAGAAGCATAAAACAACTGATGTATACAACATAGTGTCTAGCTTAATCTATTAGTCAAAAGAAATAAGAGACCGTGTTTATAATACAAATCGTCAATCTTACAGCAAAGTTGTCTATGTAGAAATTTTGGATAAATTATTTTCCACTGACCTTTTTAAAATTATAAAAGTAAAGTTGTTTCCACGGGAAAATAAATGTTGTATTTAAGAAATAATAAAAATGAAGAACGTCTATAATACTAAAAAGTAACAGGACAAACATTCAGGACTGCTTATTACCATTTATTATGTTATTTACTACAACAAACTTTTACAATGGATAATACTATTATTGTTATTACTCTGTATTTTACAGATAAGGGAAGCAAATGTCATTTTCTTACACACAGGTCAGAGTGGATTTCTCTGCACATATCTCACATTGAAGTTCATAATACTGCAGAGGAAAGATCCTATCTTTTGCAAACAAGGGCTCCTCTGATCTAAGTTTCTATCCCTGTGTTCTGCCACTCTAAGTTATGGAATATACTTGTGCAGCCTCTCTCCATCCCTTTACTTTCAGATTTTACTACCTGTCAAGGCCCAGCTCAAATGCCACTCTGCCCCAAAACCCTCATTTGGTATCCCAATTCCTATCATGTTTGCTTGTGATTTTTTCTTATGTTACGCGTATTCTTATCTTACTCCCCTTGGTTTTCGTAGTAGGGACCATGTCACATTTATCTATGTGTTCTTTATAAAACCCAGTGAGCTATTATTTATTCACTTGGCAAATACTTAACAGCTTACAAAGTTTCAGACCCAGGGAAAAGAAGACAGGCCTTGCCCTCAGGAAGGTCACAGTCTAGCTAGGATGACAGATTTGTGAACAACCAAACATACATGCCATGAATCCAAAGCAATTCTTGATTTTCTTTTGTCTCGCAATTATTCCTATTAAACCTAATCAAATTCACACATCTTTTAATAATGAATTTAAAAAAATGTTTCTAAAATTACAATATACTTTAAGGAGTAGCATTTTGATTATACCATTCAATCAACATTAGAACAGTTATGATTATAAAGGTACACAGTTTCAGCTCAGTGTTTTACCTGTGACATAAGCAATCTGATCTTTGGCTTGGTCCCTCTCTTTCTTCATTTTTTCCAAGTCTACTTCAAGAGCTTGTTTGTCTTGTTTCAGTCTTTTGATGTCTTCCAATAAACTGTCTTTTTCTTTCTTAATATTCAAAGAAATATAAAAGCAAGTTTTTTACAACCACAATAAATTGTGGTATAGTCTTTCACACAATCCATCATGAACATTGTTGCAAAATATTTTCTCTAAATTTTAGCTCTGATGTTGTTACCACCTGCCCTACCCCAGAATTTTTAATGGTGTGCAATAGCCTATTAAAATCAGTTCTAATCATCTCAACACAGCATTAAAGACCTTTCAATCTACTGTTCTAACTTCTTCCATATACTAACCATATTGATGACCCACTAATTCTCTTGCTTGGATTACTGTAATAAGCTCTTAATTAGTACACCTCTTCTACCTCTGGCCCTACAGTCTATTCTCACAGCAACCACATGAATTGTTGAACAGTCAGTTAATGTCATTCTCCATCAAAAACTCTCTGCTGGCCAGACGCGGTGGTTCAACACCTGTAATCCCAGCACTTTGGGAGGCCAAGGTGGGCGGATCACTTGAGGTCAGGAGTTCGAGACCAGTCTGGCCAACATGGTGAGACCACGTCTTTATTATAAATACAAAATTAACCAGGCATGGTGGTGCCCGCCACTTAGGACAAATGGGATCTAATTAACCTAAAGAGCTTCCGCTTAGCAAAAGAAACTACCATCAGAGTGAACAGGCAACCTACAGAATGGGAGAAAATTTTTGCAAAGTATCCATCTGACAAAGGACTAATATCCAGAATCTACAAAGAACTTAAACTAATTTACAAGAAAAAAAAATCCAAAAAACATCAAAAAGTGGGTGAAGGATATAGACAGGCTCTTCTCAAAAGACATTAATGCGGCCAACAAACATATGAGAAAAAGCTCATCATCACTGGTCATTAGAGAAATGCAAATCAAAACCACAATGAGATACCATCTCAAGCCATTAGAATGATGATCATTAAAAAGTCAGGAAACAACAGATGCTGGCAAGGATGTGGAGAAACAGGAATGCTTTTACACTGTTGGTGGGAGTGTAAATTAGTTTGACCATTGTAGAAGACAGTGTGGCGATTCCTCAAGGATCTAGAACTAGAAATACTGTTTGACTCAGCAATCCCATTACTAGGTATATATCCAAAGGATTATAAATCATTCTACTATAAAGACACATGCACACATATGTTTACTGCAGCACTATTTACAATAGTAAAGACTTGGAACCAACCCAAATGCCCAATAATGATAGACTGGATAAAGAAAATGTGGCACATATATACCATGGAATACTATGCAGCCATAAAAAAGAATGAGTTCATGTCCTTTGCAGGGACATGGATGAAGCTGGAAACCATAATTCTCAGCAAACTAACACAGGAACAGAAAACCAAACACTGCATGTTCTCACTCATAAGTGGGAGTTGAACAATGACAACACCTAGACAGGACACAGGAAGGGGAACATCATACAAGGGTGCCTGTTGGGGGATGGGGGGCAAGGGGAGGAGAGAATTAGGACAAATACCTAATGCAGGTAGGGCTTAAAACCTAGATAGGCTGATAGGTGCAGCGAACCACCATGGCACATGTATTCCTATGTAATAAACCTGCACATTCAGCACATGTATCCCAGAACTTAAAGTAAAATAAAAACAAACAAAACCAGAAAACTCTCTGCTGGTCCCTTGCAGGGTTAACCCAAAGTCCTTACCATGACCTTTAGTGTCATATAACCCAGCTTTACCCATGACTGATCACCTCTTCTATACATCCCCGCCCATTCCATTCTAGCCAGAGACCTCCTTGCTGTTTTTTGAACACTCCTACCTCAAAGGGTCTGCAGTGTCTCTTCTGCTTGTAGTGGTTTGGGACCCAGATAGCCAGGTAGTTTCCTCCTTCACTGCATCAGGATTTCTGCTCACATGAAGCCTCAGAAGGCCTTCCTGACCACCCTATCTAAAATAGCAAGCCCCATCCTGGCCCCCAGGCACACAGTTTCATTTTTTTCTCACAGCACTCATCACCACCTGACATATAAAACGTAGGATTTTATTTTGCCAAACTTTGTATCATAAATGCATAAAAAATGCTTGGGACATCAAAAAATAAAAATGAAATTCTCAATATGGACTACATTCCATACCACTCTCAGTAGTTCAAAGTGTTGTGCCCCATTCCTCTGCTTGACAAAAATCACACTTATCTTTCAAACCTCACTTCAAATTAAGCTAAGCTATTCCTGATAGTACCCTCTTCTGCCTCCCACAACTTCAGTTGTACCTCTAGCATGGCATTTATTACTGTTTCCTATGACACTGATTCATTTATATGTAACCTCTTCTCTTTATTAGGCTGAAGGCTCTATGGGGACCAAGCTGATTTAGTACTACTTGTTTACTTTATGGTACTAAGTGCATGGCATGTATTAGATAAATGTAGACTAAACTGAACTTATGAAATTACTGGACTCAACAGCAGTCAACTCGGTATTTAAGTTTCAAAATGACAAGTTCTTACAAACTCTGGTTTACACTATCTTACAATTTAAAAATCAGTCTTAGAAAGAAAATAAGAACATTTGTAAAGCATTGTATAATCTTAGTTCCTAGTTGCATCGCAGATTTAACTGCATCGTTTCATTGTTTAATCTTCTGTAGATGTCCTTTCAGGAGAGCCCTGAAACTAAAATTAATCTAAAAGCTGCTGAATGCTTTTTCTGCAAAAACCTGTTGCTTAATTAGTTCAATCAATTTAGAAATGTTCTCTATCAATGTCTACTTTATGGAATTACAGTATTTTACAATTCAAAGAACTATAAACATCTGAAGTTTAATCATGCTCAATCAATGGATGTCCACTCCAGGCTTGCAAATTTCAGGGAGAGAAAATGCCCACCTTTAAGAAAGTGAGTATGCCCCATGTTAAATCTGTGGGCCAGAGGCTTTTGGCTGACAAGTACTTTTCCTCTCTCATAATTTACCGTGCAGACACTGAGAGAGGCCTCTGCCACTCCTGTCTTTATCCACTTATGCTTCAAAGGCCTCTAGCTTCTGGAAAGGAACAAACTCAGGGCTTTTGCATTTGCTCTTCCCTCTGGCTTGAAGTCTGAATCTGCCTGGTTGGCAGTTCCTCCTCTTCAGCTCTCAACTCAAACATCTCTTTCTCAGAGAGAGCTTTCCTGTCCACACTATTAAATGCCGCCTTACCTCTAACTCATCACCCATTATTCTCTATTTTCATTTTCTTCAAAGCACTTCTATCTGTAATTATTTATTTGTGTATCTGCTGTCTGTCTTCTTCACTAGAACATATGTTCCTGATGAGCAAGATCTGTGTCTGTCTTATTTACCTACTATATTCTCAATGCTTGGATGAATGCCTGGTGCATGGCAGGCGTTCAATAAAGGCTGTCTGAATAAATGAGTTGTAGTCAGCCCCATTCTCTTCCCAATCCTGGAATACTAAAAGGAAAGGGCTCAGGAACTTACCTTTTATTACATTTCCACCTATACTTTATAACCAACTGACATTTTAAGAATATACTAATTGGCACTAATTTTTAAGGTATAAAGTAGACTATACACAAATATACTTGACAAGATTATTTTGTAGATTTATCCCAGTATAAATAATTTTTACTCTAAAACTATTTAAGAATACTAACGTAAATAAAAATAAAGGTATGTTTACATTCTATCTTATAGTATGTGCACAAAAAAATTCCCAAATAGTTTTTACTATTATTTTAAACTAAATTAACACCTTTTTTTTTTTTTTTTTTTCCTGATTTCTTTTAGGCTTCCCCTGACTTTGGTAGCTTTACCATGATGGGACTAAATGTGGATTTTTACTCATTTATGTTGAGTGGGACTTATTGTGCTTCCTAAATTCGAGACTTCACCTTTTACCACTTCTAGAGAATCCTCAGCCATTACCTATTAAAACATTTAAATGTGCATTAGGGTATCTCATATTTCTTAATATTTCTGATATTTTACATTTCTCTATTTTTCTGTTTCACTCTGAGTTCCCTTAAATTGGTCTTTCAGTTTAATGCTTTTCTTAGTTGTTTATGATCATCTATTTAATTCTACTTTCTTAATTTCTGGCATATTTCATTCCCACAGCTCTGTTTAATGTTCGTTTGAATTTGCTTGGCCTGTTTTGTTCTTTTGTCATACTTTCTCAATTATTTTGTATATTTAAGCACTTTAAGTCTATTTATTTTATTGCCTCTATTCAATCATTCTATTGGGGTTCTGATCTTGCTGTAAAGCATCTCATGCCTGCAGATGGTGGGCTGTTTCTCTAGGTTTTGTAATTTTGCATTGTGAGCACAACATCAGTTGGATTTTATCTGTGGGAATATTGTGTGGACTGGGTTAAAGAGTGTATACCTCTAAGAATTGTTTTGCATTTGTTTCTTCTAAATCTACTAGAGGTTATCACTGACTTAGAACTACTGTTTATGTTTTTTTTTAGTTTAAGCATTGCAAGGTAGTGTCAATTCAAATACTAAACACAAATGGGCAGAAGAGATACCATTTATATTGAACAACCATTAAAGTATGTGCAGAGGAGACTTTTTACCTCTCCCTACCCAGAGACCAAATTAAGACAGAAAAAATTCCTTGACATCTCAGTTTCTTTTTTCCTAATCCACTATTTTAGTGAAAGATGTGGTCCTTTAAGGGTATCCCATCTACAATTTGCTGTTAAAGCTCAGGCTTCTTGGTTACTAAACTTACTGCCATCTTTTTATCCCTCCTTACTTTTGGCTTCTAACGATTTCCCTTACTTTCTTGAGAGCATGGTTAATCATTTACAAGATATTTATTATATTTTTTTTCCAGTATATTTTGGTGTTGTTAGTGGGCGTTTTCAAATTTTCTGTCATTAAAATATGTTCAAAACAGAACTTTTAAAAGGTAAAAACAACAGCCTTTGGAACTAATGCTAACGCTATGCTTGAAACCTTACTTTGTTCCCCTAAGCCTTCATAAAATATGGTAACATTAATTGCTGTTTTAGCTTGCTATTTTTGAGGCCCACTGAAATGGGCTTTTTAATTTAGTGCTATGATTCTCAAAGGGAGCGGTGCGAAGAAGTAACTGTCTTCCACAGGCCATGTTTGGAAATGTGGCAGAGTGGTTTTAATTGTTACAATGACTGGTGGGTGCTATAAGCACATAGTTCTTAGGGACAGGGATGATAAAAATCATGCAGTGCATGAATTACTTCTGCTTAAAATAGAGTTCTGCCCTGCCTTAAATTCCCAAACTCTTCCTATTGATAAATACTGCTTTAGAAAACTCTAGGCCATATTTTTAATAGTACAATTTAATAAACATAAAAAAGTTACGGAACAGCATTGCATTTCAACTTTATGTTAGGTATGCGGGATATAAATATTTGTAAGATACAGTCTCTGCTCTCTAGAAGTGCACAGTCTACTTCGGAAGACAGGCAGCAAGCTACTAACTTTTAAAGGTAAACAATTATCTCCAAATTACACTATTTAGGCTGTACACTTTCAAATAAGGAATTGGTTTGAAATAAGGTATACATGTCCTAAATAAAATCATGCCTCTGATAATGGCTCCATGATAAACAGGCCTCATGAGATGTGACAAATGCCTGATGAGAGGCTGAATCATAAAGACAATGACATCTAAAACCAGTATTATGTTTCCTCTATACTAAGGTCACGCATATACTATACGCTAATTTAAGATATTTCTCCCTAAGTTTTAAATGGTATGAAATTTACAGATTTTTTCATACATATGGGGATTTTTATAGAAACCTTTATTATCCCTAATAGTCAAAATCCTTATGCAACTTACCTGTGCCATCCGTAGTTCTGCTAACAGGTCTGTAAAATTCTGGTTTCTTGTGGGCTCTGAATCTTCAACTACTTGAGACAGAAAACGACTTTTGTGCATCTGTTCTCTGATTTATTTTGAAAATAAAAAGTTGTTTTTCTTTCTTACCAGGTGCTCCTTTCAGTAGAAAATATTCAATTCTTAAAAATTAAAAACTAACATACATTGAAGCTATATGCATAAATGAAGGTAAAATTTTCATTTAATCTAAAGATTAAAATACTACCACACTAAAAGAGAAATATACTTTAAGAGAAATGCTTATATTTATTCTAAAAGAACTGAAACCTAAGATTATTGGTTTATTTATAATATAAAAATATTAATTCCCAATTCTCACAGGAAAAAAATTAATGGTCCACAAAGATGTGCTGCATTTTTCTGTGGGGTTATTAATGCACTCACTCCTTGGCATATTGTTCTAGAATCTTTTCTGAGAGTTGCCAGTCTCATACATGGAAACTAACAAACAAAACAAAACACATCCTAATATGTGGACCTTAAATTCAATTTTCCTGTTATTCCAGAGATATTATAGAAGGAGTTTCGGATTCCACATAAGATCATCTAACCCTAATGTACTAAAGAAACCATTTATTTCATTCTGAAAGTTAATTTAGAGCTTCAGTTTTGGATCCTGGGATAGATCTTCTTTTAGAAGCCAAGTAGTACAAGATAAGATATTTTAAAATAACTTTACTGAAACATCTGGGAAAAAAAGCTTAAGTAAATGCATTCATGCATTACCACTGTGCAGATTATCACACATGGCCTGGGGTTACACTTACCAACTTACCAGGAGAAAGTGGCAATAAATATATATATTTTGTCTGCTACCAAGTGTGCCTTTTTCTATTTTGTGTGAAAGATCAGTATGAGCTATTATTAGCAGCCCTGCCTCTTAGGCCCTAGTTTATATAACCAAAAAAGGGGGAGAAATATATAAATAAATTTGGTAAACATTCATGATATTCATGGGTCAAAGAAACTTCTGATAACAGTCCTTTCTGAGTGATTAGGTGTTTATATAAAAGGATACACAAATAGTGGTCATTTTCTAAAAGAAGAGAGCATCCTAGCTTGTCCATGTTCATGGGCTTGGCTTTTTCACTTAATATGTTAAAATTGGAAGCAGTAACGTCCAAAAGACCTTACAGTCTGAAATATGATTCCTAAGTAGGTGCTGGTGCCCCATTACCCTGCCATGATAAATGCTGGCTGAAAACAACTTGCAGGTGCTCCTTTAAACAGCAGCCCCTGCCCCCTGACATAAAGGGCAGCCCCCACTCCTTTCCACGGTACACTCCAGCCAGTGACTAAGGCTGCCCCCTTGCCTCAAGCAGGGACCAACTGTGGTACAATCTATTCTCCACAGCTTCTTGCTGGGAGGAGAATGAAGCCAGTCTCCAGCTGAGACCACTATTTGCCCTCCCCCTACCTCACCGTTCCTGCTTCCCTTGCTCCTTTCTCCTGAGAGTTATCCTTCAGTATATCATCTCCACAAGGACCTGCACCATCTCAGGCTCTGCTTCTATGGAACCTGACCCAAGAAGATCATAAGTGATACTGGATGACCTTTCTTTTTTAGTATTATTAATCACATGTTCCTCGGGAAACGGTTATCTCATTCTTAATGACTGATCAAGAGGAATACTGTATATTCAATTTCCTGAAACTGATGCTTGAATCATTTATGAACATAAATTCATATGAATTCAAATATGAATATGCTGAAAATACTATCAAGTATGTGCTAGCCATCTAACACCAAAAGAAAAATCCACTGAGTATTAAACATATAAACTGGAAACGAGAATACAAATAAAAATAAAAATTTACCATCTAAGTAAAAACAAATGTATTATTAACATAATAAGAAAATGCTTAGAAATAGTTTAAGTATATTTGATTTTAAGAAGTTCAAAAGGACTTACTTTAAGGAAGCTACCTCACTCAATAAACTCTGGTTTTCCTTAAACATTCGCTCCTCATTTTTCTTGTTTTGTTCTTGGAGATCTTTTACTTGATTATATAATCGTTCATTTTCCTTTTTAAAAACAGAATATTGCATTTTAGTTAAAAGTCATTAGTACTTATATAACATAATATACGTGCTCATAATAGATTAATCCTTTAAACGGTCTTTTAAGTTGCTTTAGTTTTTGCATAGTAAAATCTTTTTTAAACTTTTTATATTATAACAGAAGAAATTTGGTGTCTAAAAACAGTTCTTTCCATAATGTTTAAAACGCTTCATTGAAAAACTAATTTGCCAAAATTCCCACAGCTAAAGGGCCTAAGGTCAGTTGAATGCACTGCATTTCACAGGAGTTAAGTGGGAGAGTGGCTGAAGGAATCACCACATCCTGACTATGTGGACCCAGGTGGAAAGACCCAGTGAGACCCTTTATGTTCTTTTCTGTTTCTGACCCGAGAGAGAGAGAAAAAAAAATCGAATTACTGCTGGACGAAGATTCTGGAAGTCTAGCTGCCAGTGGTGAGATAATCAGATGTATCTATGGGTGTTCATGCTTGTATCTGATATTGACCATAAACAGGGAGTTAAAGACCAGTGTTTCAGAAAGTTGTCAGGACAAGGCAGAGCAGAGGACAGATCCAGTACACCAAAAGGCTTGAGCTAAAGAGCTGAAGAGTGACTCAACCAGTTGAGATCAGAGGGAGAAGAAAATGTACCAATCTGCACTTTGATGCCCTCCCTGGCTTATTAACCTGTTTAAAATTAAAAATCAGATGCAAACCAAGGGCTTTTGAGTATCTAATGAAAACTGTAGACTGTTATACCATGTCTGGAATAGTGCTGGGCAGACAGTCTGTGCTTAAACACATGCAGAATTAATGAACATCCGCCTCTACTATTTAGACACATAAATTTTGTGTTGCCTCTGTTGGATGGGTTAGTTGGCATACTTATGGGTCTGTTAAATTTTCTTAAAAACCCCTGTTTTTTAATGGCAAGATCAAACTGGCAGAAGAATTTGAATGGTTCCCAGTAACCAAGGGCAGTGTGTCCTGCCAATTCATTCCAATTCGGCTACAGCAAACATTGTAATCACTGATGTGGCAATGCTTTCGATGATGTCCCTGGGTGATAATGCATGTTACTAAGGCTCAAGGTTCAAGTTACAGTTGTCAAAAGAGAAGAATGTAATGAGCGACAAGAAAGGGGAGCAGTAAGAAAAAAGGGAGTGAGAGGCAGGGAACAAAGATGCTGAAGAAAGATGCTAAACCTGTCCTGGTTGACTGTTAGGCTAGCAACACCAAGATGTCATCACACATTGCAAACATCTGCCTCTGTAGGACCCACAGATCTTCTTACATTAAATTCAAAAATTTTTCACCCTCAGGACATTATCAATTAATTCCAGATTCATATTTCTGAAAATAATAGCAAAATCAGCCAATATTGTCTACTGAAGAGCATTACAGGAAACTAAGAAAACATAGGGCAGTTTTTAAGAAACTGGCTATTAAAAATAAAAACAGGTAACTTTCATTGATTGATTGCTGTGTGCCACACTAAGAGTGTACAGATGCTCCTCAACTTGCTTGCCCCACAAATGGCTATATCCCAATAAGCCCAAAAGTAAGTAAAAAATGTCCTAAGTTGAAAATGTACTTAATACCCTGATAAACCCACTGTAAAGTCAAAAAATAGTAAAACTTATGATGAGGTTACATCCTGATAAGCCCATCATAAAAGTTAAAACTTTGTTAAGTCAAACCACTGGAAGTTGGGGATCCTATATATTATCATCTCCACTTCACAGATGAAGAAATTAAATTAGAAAGATTAAGTGATGCCCAAGGCACACAGCAGGTGGTAGAGCTAAGACTCAAAACCAGTATTTTCCAATCCAAAACCCACGCTCTTAGCATTTAATTCTCCTCATGGGAAATACATAGACTAGTCAAATTATTACCTCCTATTTGCCAGAATTCCCATTATCTGTTAAATAAGCACAGAAATATTTCAATATGCCTTTTTTTTTTTTTTTTGAGATGGAGTCTCACTCTGTTGCCTAGGCCGGAGTACAGTGACGTGATCTCGGCTCACTGCAACCTCTGCCTCCTAGGTTCAAGTGATTCTCCTGCCTTAACCTCCCAAGTAGCTGGGATGACAGGTGTGCACCACCATGCCCAACTGATTTTTTTTAAATTTTTAGTTGAGATGGGGTTTCACCATGTTGGCCAGGCTGGTAAACTCTTGACCTCAGGTGATCTGCCCGCCTCATCCTCCCAAAGTGCTGGGATTACAGGCATAAGCCACTGTGCATGACCTGCCTTATTTTAATAACTAAAAGATGAAGAAGAGTAAATTTGCCATATGCTAAAGGATGGCCATACCTGTTGATATCCTTGAAGAAGTGTCTCTTGTTCTTGTATTTCCTTTTGGATTTGCTTCAATTTTTCTCCAGTGACAGGATCAGCTGCTTCTCCAAAATGTAACCACCTTGTTTTTTTGTTTGTTTCTTCAAAGCTGCTTAACTTTGAGAAATTGCAGCAATTGTTTTATTTGGGGAAGGAAATGATAAGGTGAGAAGTGAGAAAGAATAATAGAAAATTCCTATTTAGATTGAAAACTGTTTTATAATATTGAACACACTGGACTGTGACATAACTACAGTTAAATCAGCAAAGTGCTGTTTTGTGCAGATGGTGCCGTTAATAACTCACAAATGCTACACAATGTTATCCTCTGGGTCTATACCTTCTTTGGCAGTTTTGCTCAAACTTTGATTTCTTTAAAGGTCAGAATGAACTGATTCTCTTTAAAAAGGATGGCTAATAGAAGAAAACCATCAAAATGAGCCAATTTAAATTTAATTTTCTCCCCCAAGGGTTCAAAATTTAGGCTCTCATGTACGGAATCACTCTTCGAACCATGTCTATATTTTATACAGCAAATACATCAAGTCAAACATCTCTAGGAAACAAGGATGACAATGTATTTAGCAGGGAATACAGGTTTTTTTTAAAAAAAAAAATTAAAAAAACCAGAACAATGTGTCTAGTACCTTGGCTTGAAGAATATAATTATCTTGATTCAATTTGAAGAGTTCTTTTTCCTGTTGTTTCTTTAGTTCTTCCAACTTATTTTCTAGTTCTTTCTCTTTTTCTGAGAATGTGGCTTTAATTTGCTCAATTAGGGCTTGTGCACCCCTCCATTTTTCCTCTGCTTCCTGAACTCTTTTAAACATAAGTAATTCCTCCTCCTTGTTCTCACCACAGTATCCTAAGGAATCCTTTCAAGAAAAGCATTACTTCATTACAGTACACTTATATATAGGATTTGAACACAGGCCGTTAATTAAAAAAAGAATAAAAAGGACATGGTTAACAATGTTCTATTATATAAGAAAATTAACTGTTTAGTAAGAGTGATTACAGTATCACTCGAAGGAAAAGACATTTCAGTCCTTATTATATTTTGTTAAATATAATTTAGCTTTAATGTAATTTTAGAACATAAAAACATTATGATTATTAATTTTGAATTTAATACCTACAGTCTGAAACTGAATACAGGAATCAGTTTCTGTGGGATCTTCAGACTTCTTAGGAGTAACCAGGCAACTTTCAGTTTTGGGAGCTGCTTTATCCAAAGCTGCAGGCTTGATGAGTTTTGTTCCAGATAAGATTTCTAAATATTATAAGCAATGTATAAATGCACCACAAATGTAAAGTTAAATGTGTACTCATCAATTGTGTACAATAACTAAAAATACAATGGAAACACTAAAATGAGGATCTCAAAATAGGCTGATGGACTACACTATAACACAGCTGTTTCACTATAACTGATTGTATTCAGAAAAATTGCCACTCCGTAATCAACGTTCTACTAAATTTGACATAGATGGCCAATTAACCCAAGACTATGTTAACTGACAAATGGAGCTAAATAAATGTGAGAATGTAGATAGAAATAACTTTCAGAGTTTATTACTTTTAAATAAATTCTTCTGTTAAATGTTCATAGCAATAATCAATCAAAATTTCTAAATGACCAAGGAGCAGCTGATAACTTTATGAAACATTTTGGTGCAGATTAAGTGTGCTTTCGGAGCACATTTTTTATAAACAACATATATCATGATATCGTATCAATGGAATAATATAAATTGCAAGGAGGATTTTATACCTGTTAATTTAAATAGGATTTTAAAAGATTAACACTATTATAAAAACCTGGCTCACTCGCTCTCTCTCTCTCTATATAAAATTAGAAAAAAATGTGATTAATATATATTCTGTTCCAATTTTCAGCTTTTAAGGTAACCTGTAAATTCTTAAACAAGAAATCATTCTAAGGCTAATATATTATTCAGTTAATAATAAACAATGTTTAAGAACAATACCTAGAAGGGATCTTAAGATCCATATTCAACTACTACAGGCCCTGAGTTTAATAAACACTATCTGATTGCTTTAGAGATAAATTAAGAACTTCAAAATTTAAATTTTTAAAATAATTTATTCAAGATGTTAACTTTTTAAATGTAGAGTTTACTTTTTAATTACAAATGTTCTACATGATTATTAAATATTTGGAAAATATAGAATAGTCAAAAGAAAAAATAAATTACCAACAGTCCCTCACCAAAAGATTTCATTTCAATTATTTTTCCAGGTATGTGAAAGTTTTCCTTATAGAGTTATGATCACATTTAATTAGACTGATGTAAGTTTTCTGAAGAAATTTCTAAAAGGGTTCATGAAGAGACTGTTTTGAGTCATTGTAAGAGGAGGCTTTTAAAACTTCCAAATCACTGGAGGCTCATTAAATGAATGGGGTGTGATCTGCTAGCACGATTCTCCTCAGGACAAGGCAGCTAGTACACAGGTGGAACGTTCCAGACCAGAAAATCCAAAATCCAAACTGCTCTAAAATCTGAAATTTTTTGAGTGTCAACATGATGCTCATAGAAAAATGCTTACAGGAACGTTTAAGATTTTGGATTTTTAGATTGGAGATGCTTAACTAGTAAATATAATGCAAATATTCCAAAATCAAATGAAATCTGAAATTTGAAACACTTCTGGTCCCAGGCATTTTGGATACGTAATACTCAACCTATCACATGTTCTTGTTCATAGCTGTAGTCTGCCAGTCCTTTTATGCCAGAATTCTCCCTTCTTGAATTCTTAATTTTGACTTCTCTTTCAGTGGACTAAAGTATCAAATAATTATTTTAAATAATTGCACGTGAGCAGTACTTGCTCCTTTTACATATGAAAAAAATTTGCTTGAATATGAAATTTAAACATGAAAACACTGAGGAATTTGGAACCCATGAAACCTTCTTGGAATAGCAATGCATAAGAAAATTCAGTCAAAAAAGAAACCAATCAAAATAATTCCAGAATAGAGAAACTATGGCTAAGAGACAAGAGAAAAGCATTCAGTCTCTTTAATAATCAGAACCAAGAATTAAATTCAAAAGCTGAGGGAAATTAAGGTTGTAGTAGAGAATATACTAAATATATCTTAAGTAAAAATAAAAATGAATAGGAGGTATGTAAGTTGGGGATACAATATGCTTTATATTTCACAGAAGGGAAGGAATCGATTGCTAATGTCTAAAATTGAAAAAGTTAAGAAACAACACTACAGTTATGGCAACCTTTGAGTGTTTTTCATAATCTCTTTCCTTAAAGATTTTTCATAATCTTTTCCTTGTATTTTCGATATACAATTTCTTGGGATGAAATTTATTTTTCTTCTTATAGATATAAGTAAACCTAGATCTAATATCCTATTTTAAAAGAACATGTAAAGTGTAATCCCATTCTTACAAAATATTTTGTCCATTTATCCACATCTGCCTCTCTCTTTCCATCCATTCATTCACATTTCCTTCTATTATGTAAGTATATACATAGTGAGATGCATGGAATCTGCTAACCCACCATAACAACAGTTGTTTCTGGCTATATCATTGCTTTCTTCTTTTACTTTTCTGTAATTTTGAATTTTAAACAATAAGCATATACTAAGAATTTTTAATTCTTAATAAGAAAAGACAATAAGAATTTTTGTCCTTTCACGAAAAAAAAAAATTAATCTAAAAATAAAAACACAAGTTACAGCCAAAGAAAATTAATCAAAACTAAACACGGAAAACAACTACATGGCTGGTACTGCTAACTGCCAACCTTCTCTTCCTTCCTATTAATAAAGATCTAATTCTGTCCTGAGCAGCAATGTACATAAACATACTCGACCCCCTGAACTCCATGCAACTGAGGGCCAGAAGATCAAAGGTCATTAAGATGGATGCAAAAACTTTCCTGATTAGGAAGTTGATGATTTGACTGGCATCTACCTTTCACCTTTCACCCTGTCTCATGGACAGGGTCCAGAGGCGGAGTGGCCATTGTGACAGTTAAGACAAAAGTCACATACTAGGGATTTTGCATCAGGAAAGAAAAAGGGATCTGGTTCCCTCCGCAGCTTACCAGCCATGAACTGCCTATCTCTGGACTCTTTGTTACATAAAAAAGATACCTTTAATTTGGTTAAGTTCTAGTAGCTGGGCTTTTTCTTCATCCTAACCAATGTTGACTTTAATTTTAACTGCATTCTGTATATTTTCTGAACACTAATCTCATCTCAAACTCTGCTTCCTGGAGAACTCAACCTTTAACAAGTAACCACTATCCCAAAGGAATTACAGTTCCTCTGAATATAACTAAAACTGCTCTGGGCAATTCTTCAATAAAAAACAGAGATTAAAAACAACATACTTAATAGACAGTCTAGTGAGAAAAAGTAGTTCAGTATAAAAATATTTATGGTCCATCATTATACTTTACTATAAATTTACTATAAATTTTAATAATGTGTTTTATTTTTATTTTGGATGTCACAAATGCTATGAAATTTTAAAATATGAAAAATGAGTTTAAGAATATTATTTCACTTTACTCATAAAAATATTAGTCTTCATCTAGCAACCTCCTCATGATTCCTCTCATTGCTTTTTCACTCACTGTGACATTACCTCTGTCTTCATTCTTGGTAATTTCAACATATTCATAGGTGATCCTTTCAACTCCCTGGCTTTTGGTTCCTTGAACTTCTTTCCATCTCAGCTACTCATTCCCATTGGCATAGTTTAGGTCTTTCCTAGACTATTATCAATAATGTAATCACTCCCCAATCTCAGTCCCTCATCTAATCACCTACTATGACTATCATCTCTGTCTTCCCTCCTCACACTCTCTGGTACCCAGATTCCAACAATCCTTTGACCCCACTAGGACTCACAGTTGATGGATCGTACCTGTTGCACATTGTGTCACACTCCCTTGATGCCCTTTCTTCCTTCATTGCTCAACTTAAATTCCATGGTCAACCATTCTAATCACTTTTACATACATCATCAGCTTCACTTGCCAAAAATGTATTTTTTGGTAAACCCAACTGTTTTACCAAGTACAGTTCATTTAACAGTTGGTTAAACAAGTTGGTTATTTAACGTGTTAAATAATAACTTAATTGTTATTTCAATTTAAATTCATGATCACTAACTTTAATTAGACTGTCTTGATTCCTGACAGTCTAACTCTCTTAGATGGCTACTTCATATCTTCTCTTTTCTCTTGTAACCTCTCAAACACCTTTGCCTAACCCTCATGCTCATCTAATGATACTTTCTATTTCTCAGAGAAAACTGGAGCTATCACAAAAAGCATTCTCTCCTTAGCACATCTAACCACCTGCCAGCATACACTCTCCCTTCCTATCTGCCTCCACAGTTCCTAGAATGCAGGAAATAGCCATGTTACTGTCTAATGCCAACCCTTCTTCCACTGTGCACCAGATCCCATTACAGCTACTCTACTCAAAAACATTGCTCCAGCAATTCTTCCCTCACTCTTGTACTTTGTCAATTATTTTTCTATCAAATCTTTCTTAACATCATACAAAAAACCCAATCATTTATTTCATAAAAACAAAGCAAAGCAAAAATGTTCTTGGTCTCATCTTCCATCTCGGCTACTGGCCCATTATTTTGCTGCCTTTTACAGCAACTATCTGCAGGGTGGTCTATAACTTGAAGCACCATTCCACTCCTATTTCCGCTTACTCCATTTAATTTGCCTTTTACAGCCACCTCTCCACGGAAACTGCTTGTACACTTTATTGATCACCTCCTCCTTGCTAAACCCAAAGAGCAGTTCTCAGTTCTCACCTGTCTTAATCGCTCAGCAGTAAATGACAGAGCAGTCCTTCTCAACACACTTTCTTCACTTGCTTGTTCTCAGGATTCCACATGCTCTCAGGGTTCTTCTAACCTCACTCTGTTTCCTTTGCAGGTTCCTCCTCTTCTGCCTGATTTCTTTAGGTTAGCAAGACCAGGGGCCTCAGGCCTTGGCTTGCTCCTTTCCCTCTATCTATGCTCACTCTTTTGGTATTGTCAATCAGATTTCAACAACTCCCAAATGGTATCTATAATCCATATTTCCCTCCTGAACTCGACTTTTATATCTGTCTGTCTTCTTGTCACTTCTGCTTGCATGTTGAATAGACATCTCAAAACTATCATCTCAAAAATTAAACTCCCAGTTTTTCCCCAACTCTCAAATCTACTCAGTCACAGCCTTCCCCATTCCAGTTGAGTGTAACTCCATTCTCCCAGTTGCTCAAGCCAAAAATCTTAGCAATCCAAAACCAATTTTTCAGATTTTTGGTTCTACCTCCTAAATATATCCTTATCTAACCACTGTTCATCACCTCTACTGCCACCACACTGAGTCAAGCCCTGCTGCCTCCTGTAAATTGCATCTTACAAATAGAACGTGGTACCTTAACATTAATTCTCCTCCATGGAAGCAAAGAAAGTAAAACAATATACTAAATAAAGAGTACATGATTACCTTTTCTCCTAGGTTGATTAGAGGTGGAAATCGATCTCAAGTTTTTGCTTTTTATAATGTCCCCTGAAGTTTTATTTTCAAGAGTAGAAAACATCTTGAGTGGTGAACTGGGTTTGCCATAGCCTGAGCTCCTAACTGATGCATATAATCCACGATGGGGTTTCCTTTTAAGTAAAGGAGGTGCACTTCTGGCCTTCTTGTATGGTACCTGTTTACCCATTACAGCCCCTTCTTCAGAGCTAAGTTGAGATCTGTAAGTCTGTACACAACAAGCAAAAGCTCTTCAGTACCTAAATAAACTTTAACTATTGTTGTAAATGAATATTTAAAGGATAGCAAAACAATAGTGATGATCAAATAATGTAGTTTGTAAAAGGTAAACTACCATAGTTAAGTTCTTGAAGTCTAATGCATCCGAATTTTAGTATTTTGAAGCAGACCTTCAAAGTTAGCATTGAAACAAAGTAAAGCAAAATAATAAAGCAAAATTAGCTTGCCAGAAACCAAGATGTGTAATTACTTGAATGAACACAGCAGAAAGAACATATTTTGAAATGACATAAAATCTTATTTAATTTGTTATCTGAATTTCTCAAGATGCTTTAAAAATGTTATTAATACCTTGCCTTATTCCATAAAGAACTGGAGAAGACTTAAAAACATAATTCAAAATTATAAAATACAAGTAGAATGTCTGAATCATGGGAACTATAAAGCAGAAGAGATCAAGAATACAGGAAAAAGAATCAGCAAAATGCAAATTTCTTCACAAGTGTTAATTGCTTTCCTATAAAATGACAACTTAAAAAATACAAATGACTGGAAAGACTGAACAGTGCACACTACAATGATGAATAAACTTTTTCTTATACTGTTTAAATTCTGGACTATATTTTATTCAAAAAAAGGAAAAAATGTATAAAGAATGGCTTCTAAAAGCAAGCTAATGTTACGGTGGTATTTTTGAATTTGGGGATTGGCTAGCATTGTAATAAATATTACTCGCAAATATCCAAGATCTACTATGGAGGTTAGTATACAATCAATTCCACTAGTTTAAAAGGCACACACCTACCAATAGTACTTACATACTTTACATAACTTCGGTTCTCAATATCTCAAATCAATTTAGACTACAAATACTTACTTTATTAATTTTGTCATCCTGAGATAATGATGAAGAATTAACAGATATTTTTTTCCTCAAAATATTAAGGTACATTTTATCAACATGTTCTTCTGTGGCAGTTACTTGTGGACAGCTGTTTTCCATACTCTCATTTGTGGTCTTTTGTAAAATCACATTCTCGTTTTTGTCAAAAAAATGGTTCACATGTTGTGAGTCTTGAGACATAATATTTGGGTTCATCTTCAGGGGTAAAGAGTTAACAAATTCAGTTTCTTTACTTTCGGCCACTTTCTCAGAGCTATACAACAAAACAGGACACAGATAATGAACCCTATGTAACAGCTCTTCAAATATCAGTAATAACCACGTGTGTGTGTACACGCAGATGCACTATATATATGAGTTGTTAACTATTCATATTAAGTTACTGATGTTAAATACATTATTTATAATTTTGGTTAATAGTACACTCACGTAGTGTAATGGCTTTTAATTTCAGATAATAATTTTAATGCAGTATAATGCAAAGGATTATAAAGGTGATGCTGACATCTATTTTAGAGAAAGACCAAACCAAACAAGACTGAGACTGCTTTATGTAGAAGAAAAGTAAAATATAAATTTCTAAGTGAACTTTCTGTAATATATCTTTTATCTACAATTTCTGATAAAGTCAACATGCATTTGAAATAAGAAAAACATTTTAAACATTTCTAGAAGAAACTAAAGAAATAATCATAATTTATGTTAAGGAGGCTTAGAGTATAAATACTAAAAAAGCATATATTTAATCACAGTATAGGACAAATTTTAATGTAAAACAGAAAAATCATTAGGCTTTGAAACGAAAATCACTTCTGTGGTTTGAAACACTGAAATGTAACAATTCAACTAGATATTAAAAATCTAGAAGATACAACGTAAGGAAATGTTTTAAATGTGGTTAAATATTGGCAAACTACAGGGTCTCCAAAAATATGGCAACTATGGTTTAAAACACTTAAATGTAACAACTCAATTAGATGTTAAAAATCTAGAAGATACAACGTAAGGAAATGTTTTAAATACAGTTAAATATTGGCAAACTACAGGGACTCCAAAAATATGGGAACTGTTAGTCTTAAAACATTTAAACATGTGTCAATTAGGCCATTTAATTTTATAATTTATAAAATAAGATTAAAGAAAGTTTAAGAGGCTACCATTTTCATATAATGTAGATTGACTTCTCGGTAACCATTAGAAGCTTCTAAAGTAGCTGGAATCATCAAAAATTTAATAGTTCTTTCCTTCTTCATAGCAGCAGAACCTGGCTAGATGTTAATCAAAATTGTTTCTCATTCTTGCTGGGTACCAACTAAACTATATTTCCTTGCCAACTTCCATCTAGATGGGACGATTTACTAGTTCTTCCCTTTAGAATGTGAGTGCTATGATGCCAAGAACCCAACTTATTTGTTACTGGCTTAGTTGTCAGGTTTAGGGTGGCAGGAAACTGGTAATTAGAGTCTGGAGAGATGGCAGCCTATGTTTTACAGTGGCAAAACATTGCTAAATTGTCATCTACAAAAGTTTGTAAGGCAGACCACATGCCAGCCGACCATGGAGAACTAAGAGAAATGACAGGAAAGAACAAGGAGTTAAGTGCTGGCTACTATTAGCTTCTTTTGACAAGATATTACCAAAAAACTGATGAGCTCAACACAGAATGAGCTGGTTTATAAGCAGAATTTAGAGAGAATAGAAAGAATCTAGAAACTCTAGAAATGGGTTCTCTCTCTTTGTAGACTCAAGCTGTAAGATTCAGCCTTGAAGAATACTATGAAAAAGCAAGATTTCATGAGACTTCTTGGTTGAAGAGTAAGGAGTGACCCAGTCCCTTAGCAAAGATCATATTAAGAGTGTCATCCAGAGTGAGACTCCGTCTCAAAAAAAAAAAAAAAGAGTGTCATCTTCACATTTAAGGTATTATTTCCCCAAATATCCAGAGAACTGCAAATAAACGCAGAGAAAAAAATTTGAGGGACAAGGAATCAAAGAATAAAGCAGATTTAAAACCTTTGTCTAGCAAAGAACTTTTTTTTTTTAACTTTTATTCCAGGTTCAGGGATACGGGTATTGTCCACGGGGATTTGGTATTCAGACTATTTCACACCCAGGTAATAAGCATAGTACCCAAGAGGTAGCTTTTCGATCTTCACCCTCCTCCCAACCTCTCAAGTTGGCCCCAGTGTCTGCTGCTCTCATCTCTCTGTCCATATGTACTCAATGTTTAGCTCCCATTGATAAGTGAGAACATAAGTATTTTGTTTTCTGTTCCTGCATTAGTTTGCTTAGGATAACGGCCTCTAGCTCCATCCATGTTGGTGCAAAGGATGTGATCTCATTCGTTTTTACGGCTGCATGGTATTCTATGGTGTATATGTATCACACTTTCTTTATCTAGTCTATCACTGATGGGCATTTAGGTTGATTCCATGTCTTTGCTGTCATGAACAGTGCTGCAATGAACATATGCATGCATATGTCTTTATGGTAGACAATTTACATTCCTTTTGGTACATATCCAATGATGAGATTGCTGGTTGAACAGTAATTCTGCTTTAAGTTCTTTGAGAAGTCGTCAAACTGCTTTCCACAATGGCTGAACTAATTTACATTCCCACCAGCAGTGTATAAATGTTCCCTTTTCCCTGCAACCAGCATGGTTTTTCTTTTGTTTGTTTTTTACTTTTTAATAAGAGCTATTCTGACTGGCGTGAGATGACATCTCATTGTGGTTTTAATTTGTATTTCTCTAATAATTAGTGATGTTGAACATTTTTTCGAATGCTTGTTGACTGCACGTCTTCTTTTGAAAAATGTCTGTTCATGTCCTTGCCCACTTTTTTTTTTTTTTTTTTTTTTTTGAGATGGAGTCTTGCTCTGTCACCAGGCTGGAGTGCAGTGGCGTGATCTCGGCTCACTGCAACCTCTGCCTCCTGGGTTCAAGTGACTCTCCTGCCTCAGCCTCCTGAGTAGCTGGGACTACAGGTGCGTGCCACATGCCCAGCTAATTTTTGTATTTTTAGTAGAGAGCAGGTTTCACCATGTTGGCCAGGATGGTCTCGATCTCTTGACCTCATGATCCGCCTGCCTCGGCCTCCCAAAGTGCTGAGATTACAGGCGTGAGCCACCGTGCCCAGCCTACTTTTTAATGAGGTTGCTTTTTGCTTATAAATTTGTTTAAGTTTATAGATTCTGGGTAGCAAAGAACTCTAAATTTCATCGCTGGCACATGGAATTCACTGGGACCAAAGAGATTGCTAGGTTACTAAACTTTCTGAAAGAATATAATGTCAAAGAAACCATAACCCTGTTCAAAAGAAAAAAAAACAAGAAACCCAAAAGCCAGTGACTGGGAAACTTAAAGCTACCTGTAGGCAGGAAGTGGATTGAAAAGGGAGTGTATCCCCCAACACGGGCATACCCCTCAACCTAAAATCCACTTCAGTTGTAGCCAATGGTGATAAAATACAAGACAAATCCTCCAAGGAATGGAATGGGGGCTATATAGAATAATAGATTTAAGGTAGCCCCTTCTTAATAGAATAATAACCTAATGAAGGAGAATCCCTATTCCCAAGGTAGGAGGCCTTTACAAGTTCTTTCCAGTGGTTCTCAAAGTTGCAACATTGATTACTGTATTTTCCTCATACTTTTCCTTGCTGAAAAGGCATATCTACTGCAGTTCCACCATTATATATTGGGATGGGGGTGAGGAAGTATATAACCTTGTCTTTTTAATTCATCCATTGGTAGACAATGAGGAGTTGTACTCAAACCTGACGGAGAGGACTGTGCTTCACCTGGAAATCCTGGTCTTTCAGATGCATACAGTCCTGAATAGGGCTTGGGGATGCCTGCTTGGGGAAGGGGATAAGTGAGTCTGGATATGAAGAAGAGTGAAATTGATATTTTATTATTAGAAAGATATATCCTGGCAGAGAATGACTAGATACTGACCAAATTCATTTTTCTTTCTTGGCACAGAAACAAACCACATTTCACAGCCTCCTTGGACCTAGTTAGCTAGATGTGCTGGTTCCTACCAATGGAATGTGAGCTGAAGTGATATGAAATATATGAAACTTCTGTGTTAAGACAGTTAAAAGAGAGGATGTAAAACCATTCTCTTTCTTTCCTTACTGACTGGTTGGATGATGTCATAACAAATCTTAAAACTATGTGCTGATGACAGAAGTAGCCTGGGTTCCTAAATGACTGTGTGGAGCAGAGCCCCAATTCAACCCCACTGACCCACAAGGGACAGTGATATGAGCAAGAAATACATTTTTGATGATAACCTACTAAGATTTCAAGGATTATGTTATGGCAGCTAGGGTCATTTACTCCAGAGTTTACTAAAAAATTTTTAAGTATGTGTACTAGAGATCATACTACTGACATTTCTATTACATATGATTACTGTTATACCTTTAATATAAGTATATCTGTTTTAAGCTTTTAAACACAAATGTAAAAATCTATTTTAGAATTCCTATTATTGAAATTGTTTTACCTATAACAACAAAGACACAAGACATGTAAGAAAATCTCTTTAGTTATCACTAACATACCCCCAAAGAGCAATGATGAGTGGGCACAATCTCTCCTTTAAAAATACTAATTAGCACTATAGATCAATGGAAGACTACTAGACTTAGCACTGAAGTGAATGAATTTTAGTGTAAGGTTCACTGCATCATTTTTTTCTCAACTAGCACAAATGTAGAAACAAGGCCAGGAAATCATCACATGTGGATTTACATCATGAGGATATAGTATAGGAAGGGGGCTCAAAACATGTCTGTTGAAGACACAAATGAACAAATGACAACATGAATGAACGACAGGCTACTTCACAGAAGTATTTTATGGAGATCAAAGACCTGACAATATAAGTGGTTAGGCACATGAATGGCCTGTGTTCCTGGTCCACAGCTCTATGGCCTTAGGCAATGGCTTTATTTATTTTAACCTCTTAGGCTTCAGTCTTCTTGTCTATGAAACAGGGATAATAATGGACTATAACCCATGGAGTTGCTGTAAGGTTAAATGAAATAATACATGTAAAGTATTTGCCCAAAGTAAATGTGACAAATGTTAGCTGTTATCACCTACCAGTAAATTGAGTTCATCTCAGTTTCATTTCTTGAATTACGGGCATAAAGACGCCTTCTCTACTTGTTATGAGGATCGCGTGGGAGATTGGAAATGACATTTCAGTGCTACATAAAAGTAACGCTGTCTATGATAAGGTTACTGTGACGTGTTACTCCGTGTTGAAGAATGACAGTGGGTTACACATACTTCCACTAAACTGTATTGGACCTGAAGCATTTTAATGAGGATCATTTCTCTTGTGGCTACAAAACTCACCCTGTGAGATGACAGCCAGTCTGTGACTAAGTCAAAACTAACTGGTTTATAAAGAAGCAAATCTATGACTCATAAACAGAATAACATTCACTTTCTCCCTCATCGTGAATGTACTGTTCCAGCACTATTTAAAGCTCAGGAGTCTGTATTTTTCAGTGAAAACCTTTAGGACTATTTGGTGGCAGCAACTTTTTTATAGCATCTATTTATTTTTTCATTTAGCCCAAGATTTTTGATGACCTGAGTAAGGACAAATATAAAAAGAAGAGAGTAATGACTCACAGGTAGACTCAAGCTAATATTAGTCATTAATCATTCACTAGGAATGATTACATAGAACAAATGACTATAAAAGTTTCCAATGACAAAACAATAAATAAAAAAATTCATACCTCACAGGTTGTAAATCAAAACCACTGACCCCAAAGGAATCTATTCTGATAGGTTTCATCAGCTCCTCTACTGTGGGCAGATCTAAGAGGCGGAAAAAAGAGCAGAAACAAAAAATGTGATGTAGGTTGCTTAATTTACATGTGTAATAGGACCAAAATTACATTTTCTCTGACACAGTTAACAAAACAGTACATGCAATAAGCCTGGTTTTCCATCTTAAGTTTCCTTATACCAGGAAAACTTCCTTTCTTATGAAATATCAAATAAATATCTCAAATATCAATATTAAATATATTTATCAAAAAATATTTATACACAAACACACTCTCAGTACATATTTGGTTGATCCTGAAATGCTGTTCTCTAACAAAATACAACTTTAGTATACGTACAGGCAAAAGAGTAAAAATGTCCCTTTAAGTGACTTCTTAATTTGATCAAGGCATATTGGAAAAGAAACTAGGCCAGGCGCAGTGGCTCAAACCTGTAGTCCCAGCACTTTGGGAGGCCAAGACGGGTGGATCACCTGAGGTCAGGAGTTCGAGACCAGCCTGATCAACATGGTGAAACCCCATCTCTACTAAAAATACAAAAATTAGTTGGGCGTAGCAGCAGGTATCTGTAATCCCAGTTACACAGGAGGCTGAGGCAAGAGAACTGCTTGAACTAGGTGGCGGAGGCTGCAGTGAGCCAAGACAGCGCCACTGCACTCCAGCCTGGGTGACACAGCAAGACCCCGTCTCAAAAAAAAAAAAGAAACTGAATTTTTGTTTTGTGTTTGGCTCTAATTTTATAGTTAAGCCAATGATTCCTGTATTTCATTTGAAAAAAATCTTTTTGTTTTTTTTTGAGGCAGAGTCTCACTCTCTTGCCAGGGCTGGAGGAACACTGGTGTGATATTGACTCACTACAACGTTCGCCTCCTGGGTTCAAGCTATTCTCCTGCCTCAGCCTCCCAAGTAGCTGGGACTACAGGCGTGCGCCACCATGTCCAGCTAATTTTTGTATTTTTAGTAGAGATGGGGTTTTATCATGTTGCCCAGGATGGTCTCAATCTCTTGACCTCATGATCCACCCACCTCGGCCTCCCAAAGTGTTGGGATTACAGGTGTCAGCCACCTCGTCCGGCTGAAAAAAACTCTTTAATTAAGCTCAGAGACTGAGAAACAATCACTACAGCAAATTGTATTTTAATTATATTACAATAAAAACTCTTTAGAAAGGATATCAAATAATTGAAAAATTCATCTATCAGTTTTTACCGGATTCCATAGTAGAGATGTTTTTTGAATTCTCTTCATTTTCTTGAGAATGACCTTTCACTGAGCTCTTGATATCTTCCATTGTATTACTATCAATTTTTTGTTTGTCTTCATCTCCCAATGAATGGGCTATATGACAATAAGCTTGATGTAGGGCTTCAACATCACTACTGCTTTGCCCATAGGAAACACCTGCTGAAATAAACGTAATCACCAGAAATAATTACACCACAAATACATGAGAACTATAAAACACTAATATCATTTCTTAACCTGTTAGGAATACAAAAGTAGGGTTAAGTACCAACTAGGTAATTTGCAGCTATGGCCTACCAGCATGGATTCACAGCAGGCTCAACAACTCTTTGAGCAAGTTGAGGCGTGTCCTGATGTGGTAAGTATAAAATCTGCCTTCACTAGTCATTGCTCTTTCTACTACTATTCTTAATCAACTCCCTCTGCATTGGATAAAACTATTCTTAAGTTTCCCAAACTAAAAAATTCCTTTGAAGGATTCTACCTCTCCTTTACCATTACCATTCTCTCTGCTTCTCTGTACCACCAAGCATCCTGTCATCTACACTTTTTCAACCACAATGAATTCAGTCCTCTAACTTTGCAATCCAGTGTATTCCAACATCCTGCTAAAGCTGTTATGATCAAAAGCAGTTTCCTAATGACCAACTCCATTTGTCTTTAGTTCTCTTCAACTATGTGAGACATCTGACATTGTCTTTTTCACTTTATCTTAGCCAAAAGGCAGAGAAGTCATACGTTGTTTTTTTTTCCTAGTAACTGTTTCTTCTGCATGCCTTCTTTTTGTTATTACCACCATTTTGACGGCAGTTTTCCATCTCTTATGGTCTATAGTTCATTTCAGGGCTCCATCTTCAGTCCTCTTCTTTTGAACACCTCACTTACTAGTTTTTTGGCCTGGCTAATTTCATGAAGACTTTTAGCTTCAACTATTACCCATATGCTTATGACTCCAAAATCTATGTCTTGCGTCCTTATAACTCTTTTCTGAATATCAACTTAACAGGCATCTAGATTGTCCTATATCACATCTACATATTCCCCAACTGAATTCATTATATTCCCTACTAAAACTTGTTCTACTACCAGTATTTCCTAATCACATCACTATTTAGTCAGTCACAATAGAAACCTTGATGTCATCATTCACTCTTACTTCCCTATTAGCCTTCTGATATAGTTTGGCTGTGTTCCCACCCAAATCTCATCTTGAATTGTAACTCCCACAATTCCCATGTGTCGTGGGAGGGACCTGGTAGGAGGTGATTGAATTATGGGGGTGGGTCTTTTCTGTGCTGTTCTCATGATAGTGAATGAGTCTCATGAGATCTGATCGTTTTAAAAACAGGAGCTTCCCTGCACAAGCTCTCTTTGCCTGCCACCATTCATGTAAGATGTGACTTGCTCCTCCTTGCCTTCTGCCATGATTGCGAGGCTTCCCCAGCCATGTGGAACTGTAAATACAATAAACCCTTTTTCCTGTATAAATTACCCAGTCTTGGGTATGTCTTTATCAACAGCATGAAAATGGACTAATATACCCTCTCTTTCCACCAACTGACAAATTCTAGAAAAAAGAATTCAAAAAATTTAATGTTAATAATGATTGCACAGTTTTGAGTACTTACTCATTTTGTAATTTTTATTACTGACAAGTGGAATTTTCAAAATTAGAGGAAAATAGTGAATCACAGAAGACAGGAAAAAAAGAAGAAAAACAAGTGACTAATCTCTTCTCTTCATACCATGGTTAATTAACCAGTTATTAAAAATAAAATAGTATATATAGTCTCATCTTCCTATATATACAATGTAAGTTGTGTATATATACAACTTCTAAACAAAAGAGACAGCCAAGTGCTACATACAAGATTGTGTAAGAATGCCTTACAATGAGATGTCTTTCTAGCTAGTGCTTCAGGTCCCCATGGCTACATGAAGTATACCCAAATAACAAGTTTGCTTAAATAAACTAAAAACAGAAGGGGATACAGCCAACAGTTGAAGGGCAGAGATTTTCAAGAGGACATGAGGAAAAAGGTCTTGCTTGTAGCATGAATGAAAGAGATCATTAATTTTCAAGAAAAAAGGAAAAGCACACGCTGCCATTTTTTCCTCTACAAAAATATCAGGTTGAGCAAGTATCTGCTGAGCATACATAAAAGAAATTACTTCAATGGTAAAGACCATAATAGTATCAAATGCTCATACCTAATTTAGTAGATATGAGGTGTCAGAAAGAATAGGTTCTAGGCTTTTAAGCAACAACAGAGCAAACATGCAGAAAAACAAATGACCTAAAAGTTAGAAATGAAAAAAAAAAAAAAAAAAAAGAGGTAGAAGAGGCTGCTCAAAAAATGGCAGGAAAATGGTACTTTTCTAACTTGAGTTATTAACCTAAGTCATTTTAAAAATAATTTCATGGTTATGTAAGTTAACTTTTTTTCCAAGTATATCATGAAAAGGGGTTCCTTATCTGCCTTTTACATTGAAAACAGAAGACTCTGTAGTTATTTTATGTATTATTATTATTATAAGTCAAAAGCTCTCATATATTTCAACTTTAGAAAATTGAGGCTAGGCATGGTGGCTCACGCCTGTAATCCCAGCACTTTGGGAGGCTGAAGCAGGCGGATCACTTGGAATCAAAAGTTCAAGACCAGCCTGGCCAACATGGTGAAACCCCATCTCCACTAAAAAAATACGAAAATTAGCCAGGCGTGGTGAGGTGCACCTGTAATCCCAGCTACTCGGGAGGCTGAGACAGGAGAATCGCTTGCACCCAGGAGGTGGAGATTACAGTGAGCAGAGACCACGCCACTGCACTCCAGCCTGGGTAACAGAGCAAGATTCTATTTCAAAAAAAATAAACAAATAAAAAATAAAAAAATAAAAGAGAAAGTTGAGAAGTGCCAGATACTATTTTGCAGAGGAAAGGGTCTAATTTCATGGAGCAACACTGTCATCCTGTGATGACTCCAGTAATGGAGGCATAGCACAAAATGGTACTTGCCTGTGAGACAAATGAAAGTAAATGAAAGGTTAGATCTAGTCTGGTGTTAGGAAACCTTAAGTTCTATATTTACTAACCTCTTTGATACAGCAAAGCACAAAGAATTTCAGAAATAATATTTTTAACAAAAGAGAATCTTTGACAATGTTTAAAGTTAGGCAGTGTTTGAAAATTAACCAATGGTTGTTAAAGTTAGCTGCTTAACACATGAAGTGATATGGTAAAACAAAAAAAAAACCCATTGAACTTTTCAGTTGTTAAACCTAGTTCACATACTCATATGAAGACTTTCAAGTATATCTTTTATTTTACTTATTTATTTATTTTTTGAGATGGAGTCTCACTCCATCGCCCAGCCTGGAGTGCAATGGCATGAACTTGGCTCACTACAACCTCCACCTCCCAGGTTCAAGCGATTCTGCTGCCTCAGCCTTCCGAGTAGCTGGGATTACAGGCACGTGCCACCACACCTGGCTAATTTTTTGTATTTTTCAGTAGAGACCGGGTTTCATCATGTTGGTCAGGCTGGTCTCGATCTTCTGACCTCAGGTGATCCACCTGCCTCAGCCTCCTAAAGTGCTGGAATTACAGGCAGGAAACAATGCACCTAGCTGAAGACTTTAAAGTATGTATTTTAAACACCAGAAATTCAATACACCGCAGCCAACAAGTGTTTATACTGTATAACTCTAGGTTCTCTACTGCAGCATGTATTAGTAACACAGGGTTGACATAAATAATGACGATAATAACAACAACAAAGTTGTAACTGTTTAGTGACTCCTAAAAATGTACTATGGACAATATTTCATCTCAGTTGACCATCATGAGGGTTCATTTTAAAGAAGAGAAAACATGCTTAGAGGTAGGTACTCATTATCCAATGTCACATAGCTGGTAACTGGCAAGGTTGAAAATATGAATCCAAATCTACATGATAGTAAGTTCATGCTCTACTACGTTCAAGTAACGGACTAATCAAATTATCCTGGAGTCAAGAATATTTAAGAATTAAGACCAAAAAACTACAGCTTTATATAACTGCTTAGATCATCTTAATAAAATTTTTACTTTTAGAAATACATATTTTATTTCTGAGTTTTTCTTAAAACCTACAGTACTGGTTTTCATACTGTGTATGCAACTGATTTTGTTATCAGTTTTTCAGAGAAAATCATGGGTTTCACAGATGTATTATTGAAATTCCATTTTAAATCATGCTTTAAAACTTAAACATTATAATAGAAGCTAATCTGCACACTCAAATGTACCATTTATGTAACTGTAGTAATCTGAAGACATTATGTAATTATAGTATTTTTAATAATTTTGCTTTCTTCTTTACTTGTTTCAATGCACATCTCAGAATAAAGTTTCTCTGGTCATCCTGAGTACATGAATTTCCCATAAAATACTGTTAATCAGAAAAGCTGTAGCTGTACGATGGCCTTTTAAAAAAATTCATGTCTGCCTACTGAAAACTGTGCAAGGGGACAGACTATCAAAGCATGTATGTGACATGGTTCCTTAAATCAACAGCAGTAAAACTGGGGGACATGCACTCAGCACATGCTTACATCATGGTGGAATACTCAGTTGGGCAACAAGTGAGTAATGTGTCTTGATGTGGAAATTATGTCTTATAGTTGTAATTTTTTGACCTTTATATTTTAAAATGAAAGTAGATGTAACAAGTCAAAATAGTGGTGACTCTTGGAAAGACAGTGACTAGAAATAAGAGATGTGATGGACATTGTGGTTAAAGTCCTCTTGTTTTTTATCTGGTTGCCAATTACATGGGTGTGCTCGGTATTTCAAAACTCACTGAGTTGCACTATTGTGATACCACAAACTTTTCTATAGGTATATTATATATCAATTAAAAAGTAAAAAGCAAAAAAAAAAAAAAATGAAATGCAAGCTGATGATGGTTAGTGATTTCTGAGTTGGTTAGTGATTTCCATTACTCTTTTTTATCAAGTGTCTGAACTGGTTTAGTTAACCAGTATCCATAGACTGCAAAGCAAGCTGATTAAAAAGTTCCCACTTGCAGCTATTTATGTGATCAAACAAGAGTATTTTTATACTATTCAATCAACAAAAACAAAAAACACAGACACACTGGAAGGCTGATAGTGATATGAGACCGTAACAATCTCAATAGTTTCTAATTTCAAAAATTCCAAAAGACCATTACTATCCTCACCTATTTTATGAACAAATGTAACAAATATAAGTTTAAATATTTATCCTGATAAAATATCATTTTTACTTATGAGACAGTTCTACATAAGATTTCAATTGAAGATGTGCACTTCACTGCTTTAAAAAATTTTGAAAAGGCATTATCTTGAAGACCTTTATAAGCTTTAGGAAAGTCTAGTTGGTCTCAGGTATTTCAGAATTTGGGGATGGGGTGTAGCTTTTTCCTAAAGAACTACGGAAAAGCACAATAAGACCAAAGTCCCATTTCTCCTACACATGGCAGATTTAACGGAATACTCTGGAGAGGCATAGAAAATTAGTTAACGTTCACCTACAGTGCTACACTTTTATCAACATCATTTATTCATTTATTAATAAATATTTATTTAAAACCTCACTTTACTTGGCCTACTTGCATTGCGCAAATTTCAATTAAATTATTACATATGGTAGAAAAATGTGAGATTTAAAGTTTTCATTATCAATATGGTTATTACATATACATTTCCTTAGAAATGTAGTCAATTATTCATAAAGCATTACATATTTAGAGAACAGTCAGGTTTCCAAACATTTTTACCTGTTCCTGTCATTTCATTCTCAGTCATTTCTGGTAGGCCCCTTGGCTTAGGTGTTATTTGATCTTGTTCATCAAGATTGATCTCTGCAACAGAGTCTAGTGAATCAAGCAGCACAACTGGAAGAATATAAAAGAAAAATGTAAGGAATGTAGATAAACTCAGTGGTTCTGCTGATCGAATAAAATTATTTTAAACATATGCAATGCAGGCCGGGTGCGGTGGCTCATGCCTATAATCCCAGCACTTTGGGAGGCCAAGGCTGGTGGATCACAAGGTCAGGAGATTGAGACCATCCTGGCTAACACGGTGAAACCCCGTCTCTACTAAAAATACAAAAAATTAGCCAGGCGTGGTGGCGGGCACCTGTAGTCCCAGCTACTCGGGAGGCTGAGGCAGGAGAATGGCGTGAACCTGGGAGGCAGAGCTTGCAGTGAGCCGAGATTGCGCCACTGCACTCCAGCCTGGGTGACAGAGCGAGACTCCGTCTCTCAAACACAAAAGAACATATGCAATGCATATAAAAAGAAAGATAAATGCTTATATACAAAGAACATATAATCTTATATATATATGTAACAAGCATGTTTTATCTATATGCGTGTGTATGTATATAACAAATACGATTTTCTTCCGACGTAGAAGACAGTAGACTAACATCAACATACATATCTATGCTTATGTACAGCCTAGTGTACATGTACACACAGAAGGCAAAGGGCATTAAGAAAAGTAAAAAAAATCTTAAATATAACAGAATGGATTCAAAATAGACAAAAGAAACACATTATTGAGAAAAGCTAGGAACTTTAATTCCTTAGAAATATTTAAAAACAAACACAGATAGTGACTCATTCAGAATTACTTAGATGAAATTCTGAACAGACTAATTTTTTGCCAACTAAAAGATGAATATAAATAATATTTACCATTAGCTAGCATGCCAGTTTTTTCTTCTTCCTAAATTAAAAAAGGAAAATGATGACATGTTTTGAAATCAAAATTAGGTAAAATGACCACAATGCAAATAACAGCAAAATCTGAAATCCAGGGCTTTGTATTCCACATTGAAAAGATCAGGAACTGTGTTTTCTAGGCTTCTTTCACCAACCACTCTCACTTATCAATAATTCTTCAAGACTAGCTCTGACGGAACATCTAAAATTCTCTTCTGAACCTTGGAAATTACCAAAATTAACTCAGACCTTACAAATTCTTGCTTAAAGTATTTAAGTTCCATTTGCTCATCTACCTTGCTCAAGAATTCTCTAGTTTTTTTGAATGTCAAGACAACAGAGCTATTTCACACAAGAGTTCTGCAATTATAACATTACCAGTCTATTTTCACTTCTTGTTCAAAATTAATGGCCAAATACCTTGTACTCATTATTTCATCTATGTTTCAAAAGACACAACTTTCAGAAAGACAGGCCACCAAACAGCAAGACAGATGAAGTTCTTCAATATTAGAGGTTCCCTTAGAATAAGTTTTCCTATTAATATCACCTCTACCTCCTACTTGGGTAGGCAGTTTGTGGGATCTTCCAATAACAAAGCTTTAATCCTTCCTATTTTGATTCTTACCCAGACAGTGCTCTGAAGCTTCCACAATTAGGCTGATACATTTTTTTATATATGGTACACCTTCTAAATATACCACGGTATTATGCCTTCTACGCACCTATTCATCTTTTCTTTTTTCTTTTTTTTTGGAGACAGGGTCGTGCTCTGTCACCCAGGCTGGAGTACAGTGGCTCGATCTTGGCTCAATGCAACCTCTGCCTCTACGGTTCAAGCAATTCTCCTGCCTCAGCCTCCCGAGTAGCTGGGACCTCAGGCGCATGCCAACCATGCCCGGCTAATTTTTTGTATTTTTAGTAGAGAAGGGGTTTCACCATGTTGGCCAGGCTGGTGACCTATTCATTTTTCAATAAAATATTGTAATAGCCATATTCTAAGTATAAATCTTATTAAATTTCTAAGGATATTCATCAGTCACATTAATTTCGATATTATTTCTAAGGTCATCTCATTTTTCCCTCAAAACTGAGTGACACGTAGACACCCAAGGACCAAATACTAAGTAAATTTAAAAATAAGAGGATTTATATATACCTGAAAAGTGTTTATCTTGAGTTTACAATTTCATTCACGTTAAAACATCTAGTCCTAACACACAGAACCAAAGAGACTGTGCCCAGACACAGACCAAATAAATAGTAATAACAAATAACAAAACAACAATATTAATTGTTCTAGCTACTATTAGATAGCTTCAAAGATAAGTTCTATAAGGTAGGCAATATGAAGAAGCAGCCCTGAACAATTCTTGGTAAGAACTGGGAAATGAGAGAATCAGAGAATGAAGCACCACTGAATATGAATGGAATCATGTCGTTCCTTATCTTAGCCAAGTAAGTTTCAGACGTAACTAGCATAAATATCAGGGAGGAACATTTACTATACTTCATAAAGGCAAGTCATACCAAAGAAAAAGTATAAGTTAATATACTTGTTTAAAAATTAGTTTTGAAATTTTAATTAAGCTTTCAATTTCTAAAACTTAACTTAAGCTTAACTTATTTGCCAAAAGAAGTCTTTGTCTGTTTGTCTGAGATAGGGTCTCACTTATCAACCAGGCTGGAGTGCAGTGACATGATCACAGGTCACTGCAGCCTTGACCTCCCTGGCTCAAGTGATCCTCCTACCTCAGTCTCCTAAGTAGCTGGGACCATGGGCACTTGTCACCATACTTTGCTAATTTTTTAAGGATTTATTCTTTGGAGAGATGAGATCTCACTATGCTGTCCAGGTTGTCCTTGAGCTCCTGGGCTCAAACAGTCCTCCTGCCTCAGCCTCCCAAAGTGTTGAAATTATAGGCATGAACCACTGTGCCTGGCCAAAAACCTCTCATAAAATCATCAATTGTCATAATTTTTTTCATTAAGATTTACATTAATTTGATATCTTGAATTAAGAAAATGTTTAACTGTTAAGAGACCTGTGAGTTTACAACAATGAGCAAGATTATGAAGAACTCCATTTTTTGAGCTCTTCATATAGCAACAGGCAGCCAGGTTGATGAAAAAAGTTGCAAAACTGTCAAATATATAATTGATATATACCTGTTTGGGTACACTTATTTTTTCTGATTTGGAATTCTCTTTGGAAGGCATCTCTTCATCTTTAGTAGTCAACGGTGCACCAACATACTCATCTTCAAAATCATCACTGTAATTTTCTGAAGAAAATAATTATTAAAAGTACAAAGACCACACTGTCAAAAAAGTCAAATTCCAGGAAAAGGCTGTTGATTTCCAAAGGAAGAAGTCTGTATAAGAACAGTTTATTGAAATATTAACATAAAGATGCCTTTGGAGAATCTATAGAACTCTCCACCACAAATAAACAGAATATACATTCTTCTCAGCATCACATCACACTTATTCCAAAACTGATCACATAGTTGGAAATAAAGCACTCCTCAGCAAATGTAAAAGAACAGAAATCATAACAAACTGTCTCTCAGACCATAGTACAATCAAATTACAACTCAGGATTAAGAAACTCACTCAAAACCACACAACTACATGGAAATTGAACAACTTGCTCCTGAATGACTACTGGGTAAAAACGAAATGAAGGCAGAAATAAAGATGTTCTCTGAAACCAATGAGAACAAAGACACAACATACCAGAATCTTTGGAACACATTTAAAGCAGCGTGTAGATGGAAATTTATAGCACTAAATGCCCACAAGAGAAAGTAGGAAAGATCCAAAATCGACACCCTAACATCACAATTAAAAGAACTAGAGAAGCAAGAGCAAACACGTTCAAAAGCTAGCAGAAGGCAAGAAGTAACTAAGATCAGAGCAGAACCAAAGGAGATAAGAGACGCAAAAAACCCTTAAAAAAAATCAATGAATCCAGGAGCTGGTTTTTTGAAAAGATCAACAAAATTGATAGACCGCTAGCAATTCTAACAAAGAAGAAAAGAGAGAAGAATCAAATAGATGCAATAAAAAAATGATAAAGGGGATATCACCACCGATCGCACAGAAATACAAACTAGCATCAGAGAATACTATAAACACCTCTATGCAAATAAACTAGAAAATCTAGAAGAAATGGATAAACTCCTTGACACATACACCCTCCCAAGACTAAACCAGGAAGAAGGTGAATCCCTGAATAGACCAATAACAGGCTCTGAAATTGAGGCAATAATTAGTAGCCTACCAACCAAAAAAAGTCCAGGACCAGATGGATTCACAGCCGAACCCTACCAGAGGTAAAAAGAGGAGCTGGTACCATTCCTTCTGAAACTATTCCAATCAATAGAAAAAGAGGGACTCCTCCCTGACTCATTTTATGAGGTCAGCATCTTCCTGATACCAAAGCCTAGCAGAGACACAACAACAAAAAAAGAGAATTTTAGACCAATATCCCTGATGAACATCGATGCAAAAATCCTCAATAAAATACTGGCAAACTGAATCCAGCAGCACATTAAAAAGCTTATCCACCATGATCAAGTGGGCTTCACCTCTGGGATGCAAGGCTGGTTCAACATACGCAAATCAATAAACGTAAT